CCTTCCTTCCTTCCTTCCTTCCTTCCTTCCTTCCTTCCTTCCTTCCTCCCTCCCTCCCTCCCTCCCTCCCTCCCTCCCCCCCTCTTTCCCCTTCCCCCATGGGTTTTGAGAGAGAGCTTTGGTTTTTTGACATTCATTGATTTATTTTCAGACCTAATAAGACACTCCATTAAAAAGATGAGATGGCAGCCTTGGCTGCAGCAAATTTAATATGGAAAATACATTAAAAGCATATTTGAAGAGCTCAGATAATGCGGAATGACAAGGAGATGGATGGAAAGTATCAACAGGGCTGTATGTTTTGCTAGTTTTGCTAGATAAAATATCCAATTTACCCAGGGGTGGGCTTCAAATAATTTAGCAACCAGTTCTCTGCCCGGTTGCTGGTTGGGCATGGCCCATGGGGGGAGCAGTTTTCACCCTCCCTGGGCTCCGGAGGCTCTCTGGAAGCTGGGAATGGGCCCATTTCTGGCCTTCCAGAGTTTCCCGGAGGCCTGTTTTTCACCCTCCCAGGTCTTCAGAGGCTTTTCTCAAGCCTCCGGGAGGGCAAAAATGGCCTCCCTGGGCTCCAGAGGCTCTCTGGAGCCCATTTCTGGCCTCCCGGAACTTCTATGAGGCCCATTTTTCCCCTCCCCAGGCTCCAAAGGCTTTCCTCGAGTCTCTGGGAGGCCCGTTTCCCCACTCCCCAGGCTCCAGAGGCTCTCTGCAGGCCGGAAATGGGTGTTTCCAGAGCTTCCGGGAGGCCCATTTTTCACCCTCACTGAACCTCCGCCTGGGCCCTGCACTTACATGGCATCCATAGGGGGGCATGTGGAGACTTCCTGGGAGGGGCAGGGCAGGGTGGGCAGGGCCAGCCAGTCATTGCAACTACTGGTTCAGCAAAGCAGATGTAAAATAACTCCCGGTTCGCTCAAACCGGTGTGAACCGGTAGCAGCTCATTCCTGCATTTACCACTATGCAAAGCTGGCTGAGGAATTCTGGGAGTTGAAGTCCACAAGTCTTAAAGTTGCCAAGGTTGGACACCCCTGATGTAAATGGAGTGACCTTGGAATATTTTCCCTTTATTTATGCCTTTAAGATCTTTAAGCAGAGGTTCCAGGATCAGCTGTTCGTCAGACCTACCTTCACTTAACCCTTTGGGTAGATTTTGGGGTTCCTCCCCCCCTTGGCCAGTTAAAGGATGATGCTGGGCCAGGAAGGCTTTTCACTAAAAGAGTAGCCAATTCTTCCCCCAGTTCCATGATGGGACCCAACCCTGCTGTGCCTTTGCAAAAGAACCAGTGGATTCAGCTGACTCTGTAAGAAGGCTCTGGAGATGAGGAGTGAGATGGGTTTTTGTAAACTCTGACTTACGCTCTGTTATTTTTAGCTTTTCATTATGGTTACATTAGTTGTCATCAAATGGTTTTATGACTTGGACGTCAGCCACTAGGAGTCTCTGGAGCAGAATGGAATGCAAGTTTCGCTAAATAAATAAATCAGGATATCTAATTGGATGCCATGAAAAAAAAAATGAATGGCAGGCTTATGGGACTTCCTCAGACCAGAGTCCCTGGTCCTTGATGGTACCATATTATAGGTAACTTCCACAGAAGTGCCATAGGTTGCTTTCAGTTACCTAACTAAACCAGCTCATAAAAAGCCTAGCAGAAGCTTTGCACCAAGTTTTAAACTGGTTTAGAATTATCCAGTAAACCTAAACGAGTTGACTAGAGTTAACCTTATTTAATGCAAGTATTCCTCGACTCCGTTCATGTAGTGGTTGTTCAAAGCTACAACACTGAAAAAGCAACATGACCATTTTTCACACTACCATTACAGCTCAGGGTCACATGATCAAAATTCAGATGCTTGGCAACCGACTCATATTTATGATGCTTGCAACTTTCCAGGGTCACATGATCCCCTTTGACAACCTTCTGACAAGAAAAGTCAATGGGGAAGCGAGATTCACTCAACAACCAGGTTATTAACTTAAGAACTGCAGTGGTTCACTTAACAACTGTGGCAAGAAAATGCAAAAAAAAAAAATGGGGCAAACTCACTTAATGTATGTCTCGCTTAGCAACAGGAATTTGGGGCTCAATTGTCGTAAATCAAGGTCTGTCTGTAAATGGCTTTGTTTCTTTGCTTGTTTCTGCAGACCCAACTTGCTTCTTGATCATTTGAGAGTTCAGTGACAGGAAATTTTTAATGCGCCCATCAGTGCAAACAAACAAACAATTAAAAAAAAAAGATGAAGGAAGGAATGGGAATTCCTAAACTGAATTTATTGCCCCCTGCACACCAATAGTTGAAGGAAGCGATAAATTGCTAGAAAAATATTTGAGGTTCATCCATGAATATCTGCCTTGGCAACTTAAAGAAATCTCTGGTTCTTTTACAACAATGTTTTTCAAACTGGGTAATTTTAAGATGTGCGAATTTTGATTCTCAGAATTTCCCAGCCAGCATGCTGGGTGTTTTATTGCAATTGTCTTTAAATGATTCCTTTTGAGTATGGTAATGACCACTAATTTGTCTAGCTGTTTGCCAGACCAATCTCCCTCTTGTCTTTTCACCCCACAGTTGATTTTATTGGAGGGTTTGATTCCTACGGCTACCAAGCACCACAAAAGATGTCACACCTGCAGCTGCAGCCTTTATACACGTAAGTGGCTTTAACAAATTGAGACCCAGCTTCCTCACCAGGCCTTTGGAAGAACTACAGTAAAGTAGTTTTCCTTCCCTTTCCCTAACCACGTACCGGACAGTGTGGGGCAATGGCTATCGAGCTCAGAAAAGATTAGTTCAAATGTATATAAGGGTTTATTGCAAACTTAAGCTGTCTGTAAGAATTGAACTACCAATGGTCAAAGCAAATTGGCAGTAGATAAGAGTCACCAGGGTGGCTCAGTGGCTAAGACACTGAGCTTGTCAATCAGAAAGATCGTCAGTTTGGCGGTTTGAATCCCTAGTGCTGCATAATGGAATGAGCTCCCATTACTTGTCTCAGCTTCTGCCAACCTAGCAGTTTGAAAGCACATAAAAATGCAAGTAGAAAAATAGGGACCACCTTTGGTGGGAAGGTAGCAGCGTTCTGTGCGTCTTCGGCATTTAGTCAGGCTGGCCACATGACCATGGAGACGTCTTCAGACAGCGCTGGCTCTTCGTCTTTGTAACGGAGATGAGCACCGCCCCCTAGAGCCAGAAAAAACTAGCACGTATGTGTGAGGGGAACCTTTATTTTTAAGAGTCAGTGGAATTCCAGTGGGCTGGACTTAGATCTCTTGTGGGCATGAAAAGATTCGAGACTGATGATGCATTTGACTCCTCCCTCAGGCTCAGTCTGGTCATCTCCTACATTGGCCTCTCTTCTCAAACGGTGCGGTATTCTTGCATTTGCTCGGACTCTTCAGAAATAGTGAAAAGATTGAACCCTACCTTTATGAGTAGATGTAATGGCGTGGGGTACTGACCTTAGGAGACAGGAGGAAAGGCTGCAGACTAGACAATAGATAAAAGGCAACTGAGCCTGCAGAAAGAATGGGAGCTTGGCCAATGTCTCAGAAGAGACCCCTCCTTAGTTTCTTGGACTCTAAAGGGGAGGAGGGAGAGATGTGTGAGATAGTCCAGGCAAAAAGGATACTTGGGAGTACTAGCTGTATCTTTATAGTATGGTTGATTACCAGAACTTTGCAAGTCTGAAAATGCATCTCTGCTAGGATGGAGGATGGATAGTTTGGGATGGGCCATTTGCAGGCTCATGTGCCACTGTCAGTCTTGTGCCATGGCCTATTCCTTTAGCACATGGCATACAATGTCAGAGAAGAGTAGTGCCTAGAAGTGGAGCTGTTGTCTCACAATCAGGAGGCTGTGAGTTTCATCCTAGGTAGAGGCAGATATTTCTCTCTGGGCACTATGAGAATATGTCTGCTGAACAAAACTCTGCATTGGCAACAGGCAGGGCACCCGGCCAGTAAACATTCAGCTCCATTTAGTTGCCCAGATGCCACCCTGCAAGGGATTACAGGGTCATTAAAAGAAGATGATACAATGTCAGAGAAATCTGACAATGCAGACCTGACAGCCCAAATTATTAGTTCATTTGGGTCAGTGCTTGTGTGCCTATCCTTGGTGCACTCAGGGGGCAAACACCAGTTGACTAGCGGCACTCAGGTTGTTGGCTCTACCCATGCTCCTCTGCTGGTCTCGCCTCAACGCATGTTGCATTGCCTTGCCTCACATCCAGCCAGGTCCTAATTGCATTCATGTGTGGAGCACCAGCTTTCACTCGCTCCACACATGAATGCAATTAGGTTTTCCCCACTGAAGTGGTACCCACTTATCTACTTGCAATATTGCATGCTTTCGAACTGCTGAGTGGCCGGGAGCTGGGGAGCGAGCAGTAGGAGCTCACCCTGTCTCACAGAGCCAGGCTCGAACTGCCAGAGTGCAGGCCATTTCTGGCCAGCAGTTCCAGCACCATTAACCCATTGCACCACTGTCCCACTAGACTAGGGGTGATACGATCAGTGGTGGGATTCTACCGGTTCGCACCAGTTCTAGCAAAGCGCACGCTCACTGAACCGGTTCTTAAATCGGTTGCATCCCACCACTAGATATGATAGCAGTCTTCCAGTACTTGAGGGGTTGTCACAGAGAAGAGGGAGTTAACTGACTCTTCAAAGCACCTGGATGCAGGGCAAGCAGTAATGGGTAGAAGGTCATTAAAGAGAGCTGCAACCTATAATTAAGGAGAAATTTTCTGACAATGAGTACAATCAGTGGAACAACTTACTTCTAGACTTTTGAGGGAGTCCATCACTGGAAGTGTTCAAGAAGAAATAATCTTATGTCACTGGTCTTCTGTTGTTCTTTTTTAGCTCTGGATAATTGCTTCCTTGCCTACCTACAATGAACAAGCCTTTGGGGATGTTTGCAAACCACAATAACAACGCCAAGCCACCAAGATAAATGGAGTAGGGCAAAGCATTTTCAAGGCCGTTGTCAGTTCTGCTGGAGATTTGGTGTTCCAGGGGGGACAACTATGGTGACTCCATCTTGTCCTTCTCATCCGTTAATGCCTTTCGTTTGGTACTTAAGCAAGAATCATGAACCCATTGGGGAAACTTTGACCAACACTGTTTTTCCAAATCTAACAGTTTCTGCTTAAAAGGACCTCGGAGCCAAAACAAGCTCAGGACTCCACCTACTGGCCAAGTTGTGTACTGTCACTGGTTCACACTGGCCAATCCTCCAAACTTGTGGTCTTATTCTTGTCTCCAAGATGTGGGGAAGAATCTTTTTCTAAGCGAGATCCTTTTTTTTTTTTTTTGGTCAGATTTTTTGTTCGTTTGTTGGTTTTTCTAAAAAAATAATAATAATTTTGGGTCACGTCTTGTCTGAGCAAATGACTTTCAGTGTGCGTTAATCTGTAGGTTGCAATATTTTGCAATAACGAAAAGGAGTAAAGGAGTAAATGAATGAAACATGAAATAAAAGGTGGGTAATGGAAAGGAAAGTTGGCTAGGGTCTGAAATCTGTAACATGTACTCCACCGTTTAGTGAATATTTTCTAAGCTGCTTCGTCTTTGAAACTAGCGACCACCTGGTTGCCTCCAAATCGACTTCAGAAGCATTCCATTTCTGACGTACAGCCAGAATTTTCTCTTCCAACCCAACGTTCAGGTTAAAAGGAAGGGAGAGAAAAGGCAGAGAGAGAAAAGAGTGAGAAAGAAGTGGGTGTCCCCACTCATTTGTGGCTGATAATGTAGGCTCTAAGAGGAACCCCTGAAAAATGTAACCAAAACAACAGTTAAAGAACATCAGTTAAACACATCCGTTGGCAGAAATCGTTCCTTTTATCAAAAAGATAACGCCAGATGGATGTCTACTTGGGTGAGCGTGCTTTGTTTTTCTTCAGAGGACACCACTCTCTTCCACTAAAAGCGTGAGATGAAAACTTCTTGATTCTGGAAGTGGAAAATGGTGTTCTTAGGAAGAGGAGTTATGATGGCTGAAGACCGTTGTATAAACTGTTTTGGAAATTTGGGGTTCCTTTTGTAAAGGGGCTACAAGTGTCCTCTGCACACCTCTGTGTAGCCCCCTGTGGTTGAAGGTCATGTGATCAGGGATGACGAGTAGGTAATCTTGTTCGGGCTTCAGGCTCTGCCAGAGGAGCTCCCATAACTCTTTGCAATATTTCAACAGTTGTCCTGAGATCTTGCAAAGCAGCTCTGGAAATCCTTTGATTCCACATAAAGAAGCTGAAGTCTTGCAGAATGTATGGATACATGAAAGCTCAACCCTTTCTGTTTTTTTTAAAAAAATATTTTAATGGGGATGAGCATCTTTGGGATGTGTGGTGGATGGCCTAGGTACCCGTGGCTACTACACTGCAGATTCTAATCCAATATTTTCTCAACCTTGGCAACTTTGAAGATGTAGAGATTTCAACTCCCAGAATTCCCCAGCCAGCATCCTGGCTTGGGAATTCTGGGAGTTGAAGTCCCTACATCTTCATATTACCAAGGTTGAGAGAGACTGTTGTAATCTGCAGTTCCATATGGCAATCAGAGGATGGGTCCCCCTTGTTTCTAACTTCACTAGCAAAAGCCAAGTGACATCCTGACAAATCAGTCTTCCATTTTTATCCCCTCTCCCTTGTAGAACTATCCTTTTAAAATTTAAAAACACTCATTTTAAATCAGTGTTTTTCAACATGGGCTTTAACTCCCAGAATTCCCTAGTCTTCCCCTTCCAAAAGTGGAAATGAAGCAACTTGTTGGTGTTGCCTCATTCTGACTCTCCCGCGAGACCTACTTTGGCAGCCCCAATACTACCTATAATTGAGCCCAAAATTTCCGTTGCTGAGCGACAGTTTTAAATGAGTTTTGCCCCATTGTAGGATTTTTCTTGCCCCAGCTGTTAAGTGAGCAACTTGGTTGTAAAATGAATTGGTTTTTGCTTGTCAGAAGACCGCAGAAAATGATCACATTATCCTGGGACATTGCAACCATCAAAAATAGGACCCAGTTGTCAAGCTTCCAAATTTTGATCACGTGACCATGAGGATGCTGCAACGGTCATAAGTGTGAGAAATGGTCACAAGTCACTTTTTTCGGTGCTGTTACAACTTCGAAGAGTCACTAAATGAATGTTGAGAATTACCTGTAGTCGGGAAAGGGTTTTGTGTTAGTCCCGTGCAGAAGTACCTTCCAATATTTCCAGCCCATGATAATCTTTGGGGTGCAAAACTCTTGGTTAAAAATGATTCCACACCCTCTTGCCCAGGGTGTTAGATTCCGTACGCAACGGTGCTAACCTTGGAGCCTGCCAGCAACAATAATACTAACCTCAGACCCCACCAGAAATGCATTCCCTGATGTTTCCTCTGTGCAGTGGACACGTAGGGAATCTCCTATGATGCTGGCTGGGAGTCAATGGCTGTGTGGGGAATCCCCATCTCCAGATGACGTGGGGAACTCTGGTTCAACACCCCATCACAACCAAGCACTTTGGGAGTGTTCCGGCTCCTGCCGGAGGGGTGGATTTTTCCTTTCACACCAAGGGGTGGACATAGGGATTAGAGGGGGTTCGGTATTAGCTATAGGGACAGAATAGGGACGGACTGGGCAGCAGGATGTGAAATACGGAGATAACCTATGGATAGCTGCCTTAGTTGATCAAGGATACTTGGGGTTCTGGGATAGGGCGGTCTGCAGGATCTAGCTGCAATTAGATGGGCAGGGTAATACTATAAAGTGAGCTGGAAGGCCAACACTCCCAGCGCTAACCTAGATCAGAATTTGACTGTTCTTGCCAGATGGGATGTGCGTTATTTGTACAAATTAAAATACTTCAAATCCCGATGTTTGTCGGCTTGTATCTTGAAACTACGATCATCCAGAGGACTGACTGAGAGAGGGTTTCCATTTAGCTAGGTATTCTTTCCACAGTTGTTATGTTCAAAATACACTGCTCAGAAAAATAAAGGGAACACAAAAATAAGACATCCTAGATCTGAATGTTCTTATTAAATACTTTGTTCATTATATAGTTGAATGTGCTGACAACAAAATCACACAAAAATTATCGATGGAAATCAAATTTAGCAACCCATGGAGGTCTGGATTTGGAGTTACACTCAAAATTAAAGTGGAAAAAAACACTACAGGCTGATCCAACTTTGATGTAATGTCCTTAAAACAAGTCAAAATGAGGCTCAGTAGTGTGTGTGGCCTCCGCGTGTCTGTATGACCTCCCTACAATGCCTGGGCATGCTCCTGATGAGGTGACAGATGGTCTCCTGAGGGATCTCCCCCCCACACCTGGACTAAAGCATCCCCCAACTCCTGGACAGTCTGGTGCAACCTGGCATTGGTGGATGGAGCGAGACATGATGTCCCAGATGTGCTCAATTGGATTCAGGTCTGGGGAACGGGCGGGCCAGTCCATAGCATCAGTGCCTTCGTCTTGCAGGAACTGCTGACACACTCCAGCCACATGAGGTCTAGCATTGTCTTGCACTAGGAGGAACCCAGGGCCAACCGCACCAGCATATGGTCTCACAAGGGGTCTGAGGATCTCATTTTGATACCTGATGGCAGTCAGGCTACCTCTGGTGAGCAAATGGAGGGCTGTGTGGCCCCCTAAAGAAATGCCACCCCACACCATTACTGACCCACTGCCAAACTGGTCATGCTGGAGGATGTTGCAAGCAGCAGAACATTCTCCATGGCATCTCCAGACCCTGTCATGTCTGTCACATGTGCTCAGTGTGAACCTGCTTTCATCTGTGAAGAGCACAGGGCACCAGTGGCGAATTTGCCAATCTTGGTGTTCTCTGGAAAATGCCAAATGTCCTGCACGGTGTTGGGCTGTAAGCACAACTCCCACCTGTGGATGTTGGGCCCTCCTACCACCCTCATGGAGTCTGTTTTTGACCATTTGAGCAGCCACATGCACATTTGTGGCCTGCTGGAGGTCATTTTGCAGGGCTCTGGCAGTGTTCCTCCTATCTCTCCTTGCACAAAGGTGGAGGTTGCGGTCCTGATGCTGGGTTGTTGCCCTCTTACGGCCTCCTCCATGTCTCCTGATGTACTGGCCTGTCTCCTGGTAGCGCCTCCATGCTCTGGACACTATGCTGACAGAAACAGCAAACCTTGCCACAGCTTGCATTGATGTGCCATCCTGGATGAGCTGCACTACCTGAGCCACTTGTGTGGGTTGTAGACTCCGTCTCATGCTACCACTAGAGTGAAAGCACCGCCAGCATTCAAAAGTGACCAAACCATCAGCCAGAAAGCATAGGAACCGAGAAGTGGTCTGTGGTCACCACCTGCAGAACCACTCCTTTATTGGGGGATGTCTTGCTAACTGCCTATGCTTTCCACCTGTTGTCTATTCCATTTGCACAACAGCATGTGAAATTGATTGTCAATCAGTGTTGCTACCTAAGTGGACTGTTTGATTTCACAGAAGTGTGATTGACTTGGAGTTACATTGTGTTGTTTAAGTGTTCCCTTTATTTTTTTGAGCAGTGTACAAATCGAAGATAGGCAGTGAATCATAACATCTCCTAAACTGGTGGTCAGTTGGGCTTCACGAGAATCAGGATCTTTCTGAAATTTGGGGAAAAAATATACTTTCCTTCCCACCCCATCTCCCCAACTGAATCCTGGAGTACCATGTGTGCACAAGAGAAAGTGGGCAGTGTTGGGGCAACCGTTTCATTACTCCCAAGTAATATGCCCTTGGCATGCAGACAAAATGGGCATCCCCCCATTAAGAATCCCTGCATTTCTGCAAGTGTCTCTTTTCCCCACTAGAAGGAATTACAGGTAGTCCTCAACTTACAACGATGGTTGCAGTGTCCTAGGTCATATGATTTCCTCTTTGGTGACCTGGCAAGCAACATCAACGGGGAAGCCAAATTCACTTAACAACAGTGTTACTAAACTGCAGTGATTTTGCTTAGCAGTTGTGGCAAGCCAGATTGCAAAATGGAGCAAAACTCCCTTAATGAACGTTTCACTTAGCAACAGAAATTTGGGGCTCTTATTCTGGCCGTAAGTCCATAGTGGAAGGATGGACCAGGTGCTGTGAAGGAACAATGGATAAATAGATTAAAAGAGGATGTCCAAAGTCTTTCTGCTGTTTCTATACCCCAGCGATAGATAAGGCAGGCCATGTTCCCGAGGCCCTGATATTTCTGAACTACCGTGGAAGCCGTTAGCATGGCCATAGATGGGAAAAGGATAAGGGGCATTTTTGGCATCGGAGTGGTCAGAAGTTCCCCATCCCTGCTCTGACCTTCTTAAAAAAACGTTCTCTGAAACGGTGTCCCCGGCTCTTACCGATGTGCCAGACTGCACAAGTATAACGTTATGCTGAACTGCCCTCTGCACCTCCTTTTCAATGTCTTCTCAACATGAAATCTAACCTTAATCATGGATCCTCCTGGTCAGTGGTGGGATTCAGCTGTTTCACACCACTGGTCAAACCGGTTGT